CTCGCGCCCACGCAGTCAGACGCGCGCGCAGGCCCAGCGCTTGCAGTGCGTCGAGGGCCTCTGATCTTCACTGAGTTTCTGTACAAAATACACAACTAGTACTTATTTTTGACCTCTTCTAATACGGTACTGGGTGTGATGAGTACAGTGCTCTGAGCACCCTACACCCATCCCCACGGTTTAGAGCCCATGTTAGCCATCCGGTCCTCTTCCTAGAAATTTGCTTTGTATTGGAAGCTTAGCTTCGTTAGCGATGAGAAACATGAGCCTTCAAAGACTTTCGAGAATTATATTTTCTTTAAAAGTCTGATAGAAAGTTGAAAAACTCTGAACTAAATTGATACCGTAAGGGTGTCAGGGAAGAATGTTTTGCAATGACAAATCCCTCGGCCGGGCGTTCAAGATGTGGACATTGTAAACCAAAAGGATGGCTTGCTGACACCGTTTCTTAGTTTTATGGTTTCCTTTTTAACGTCTTCTGGCAGACTTAAGGGTGTGAAGTGGAAGAGAATTGCACTGGTCTCAAAAGAATGCTCGTTGTACAAATAGTACGCCTTCAACTTGCTTATGATTCACAAAGCTAAAACCTGAAAATAAAACAGAGGGATAAATACGGCTTAAAGTTTTCGCTTTTGCAAGTATTTAAACGGGTTAATGCATAAGCTCTGGGCTGATTCATTTTTAAATCTACCTTAAAACTGGTTGAAAGTGAATAATAAGTTTCAGAATCCTGATCCAAGGCCTGGCTAGGGTGACCAAAGTCTAGACATCCGGAATCAAGCAACAAGTGAGTCTATTGTGGCAAGCTGCTCAAATAAAAACAGAGAAGTTTCGGAGAACTGGAACAATTGACTAGTGTTACAATCAACCACTCACCCTTGGTGCTCGGAAGATATAATAGAGACGTCACTTAGGTCTAAGAATTATTTTCTTCAGTCGTGTGCCGATTTCTTTGGTTTGTTGGGACGCACCAGTGGTGGTAAAGCACCTGACTCGTACCGGGCAACTTCTTCCGTAGCCATATCTGTGAGTTCTTCAATTGGCTTATCGTTGATCAACTTCCTCCATCGACTTAACAAAATCCCAATGTATTCGAGCTTCTGGTTCGGATCACCTCTAAAAATCGTATAAAACTTGCTTATTCTTCCAGGAAATACTAATAAAAATACCAGAGTTTTTGCGGCAATGATATTTGTATCATTTACATACCAATAACGCTTGTAAATGAGGAAGAGGTTTCCACGAGGTATGGTAAATTTAGTTAATTAAATAACTGCCGACGGCAGCGGATACGGGCTTCCTCAATTTCTGGTGTCTGAGGCAATAGAACGCGTCGCGGCAGAGTTAGACGTGGGCATCAATAACCACAAGGCAACTATCACACGTACCAGAATTATGAAGATGAAGGTGCGGCTAGACGCAGTTGAAAAATAGGGCATTTATCAAACGATGTGACATAACTGTCCTTGCCATTATACACACCAAAAGGAAGATGCCACAGATAGTGTATATTCTAACACAAACGGGTGGTTACGGGAGCGACCCACTGTCTAAAGTCACTTCCCAACCTCTGAAAGAACACCATGAATTTGGCTCCATGAGGCCGTGGATACTAACGCAGGTCGACAACAAGTCGACCACGATCACTAGGTCGTGACTGTTTTTTAGTTATTGATAAACAGCTTTGAAGAAAGGGCATTGGAGGATTTACATTGGGTTAGCCCATCATTTTAAAGTTGCTACAAGGCACCAAATAAACACCGACTTTCGAACTTGGTTAGACGTAAAGTTTGAGACACAGATGGAACACAGGCGAAGGTAAGACACTTGAGAGTTGGGAACAGTGTGAGTAAAGCCAGGTGTCCTAATTCCTACACATTAAAGCCAGTCAATTCGCAAAGCAGACAACCCGACGTTTTCGGTTCGATGCTTTGATGGGTTGTGTTGTTTGAAGTCGTGAAGCCTCTGGGGCTTGGAGGTATGACAGAAATTCGTCTAAGGGTGGTACTAACAGTATTGCTTCGGTTGTTGCGAAGGTGTCTATAGGGCAAATCTAGGCCCTTAATGTGTACTGGCAGAGAGAACACACGAGAAGCAGTTGAGTGCTAATAACTGGGTTTTTCAGTGTTCTACTTCAGACGCAATGCTCCCCGTCTTTATTATGCAGTATCCACCTGGTCTCGGTGATCACAGTCCAGTTTTTTTCAATAGTTTGACATGTCTGTCGATTCTGTGGGGTTTTCCAGGAGTTCTGGTTGATTCTGAGGTAGCCCAAAGACGCTGATACTCTGCTTTTGTATCATTTCGTCTGTTCTTTTTGTCCGCCTATGCTTCTAACACCACCGCTGAATGATTTTTTCTGGAAGGCATTCATCTGAAACTTCATTTTATTGATCACTCTATCGAAGTTTTAATAATGTTAACATTGCGAAGATGATGAAATGGTTACAATTGCTGAACGTTTGTTTAAGACTTTGAAGCTTTCATCAGTGCACAATAACACTACTTTACATAGCAGACCGAAATTGTTATATCTGTCGAGCGTCCGACGCAGATGTTCGCTGAGGAAATAAGTAATTCAGCATTATTAATTGTGGGTGAGGTTGGCTCTAGCGGTCTTTTTTTGTCCTTATGCATTAGAGCTACCTACTTAAATTTTTAAGTAGGTTGAATTACCTGTAAACTTCGCAGGGATTTTCTGATGGCATTGAAATGCAGAACGGTTCTCCAAAGGCAAACATATTCCATAACTGCTAAAATCGGCAAACTAAGCAAAAGTGGCCTTTTGAACTACCCACGGGAACTACCGCTTGCTTAAAAATTTTAAGGAGGGTGATTTGCCTAATCTCCCTGCCTTTTGTACTTTGTTA